ACTTTTATCAGTCATTTTACAACATTTTATTGTTGTTGCTTATGTCCACAATATGAAGTTCTATAGGTGATTCTTTTAATCTTAAAATGCCTGGGTGTATCACTTAAAATAACCTGTTGTATCATTTATTTTACTGCAATGCAAAAAAATAAATTACTGGATGAACTTGTTTGAAAACCTTGATAAGAACTTTCTATAGATCATGTAGCTTCTAAGAAGTAAAAGATTATGTAACTTTTGTAAAGTCAAATATCATATTTTTAAATATTGCACGAATTCTCAGCTTTGGAAATTAGAAAATATTTCTTTAAAAAAAAAACAGTTAAAATACTTATCTTTGTTATAGATTTCTATTACTGATTTTATGTAATCCTACATAATTGTAAATCTTTCTGATAAAGCTTTTATTTTATAAAATTGTATTTTTTATTTGATTAGAAAAATTGCACATAATTTCAGTGTGTTTATATGATTACTGTTGTACTATAAAAATAACTTTTTCTTTATCATAATTATAAGCAAGCAAATTGATGTTTTTAATTGTTAATCAGAAGGATTCATTTATAAAGCCATGGGCACAAGGCTGAGAAAGGTATTGTTCATTTAAAGTATCTTGGGATATGTTTTGAAATGATATTCCTTGTAATTTTCAGCAAATTGGGGAATACCGTATGTTAAATAGGTAAGCATTAAGCACTGGAGAATTGGGGTGGGTTGTTGAATAAATTCATAACTATTTAATCACTTTGGTAAAAGGTTTGCACCCATGCATTTGATACATTTAATAAATTATAAACTTGTTTTATATTCGTTTATATACCTTCTTTTTATGTTTTTAAGCAGTTTTATTTGTCCATTCAAGCAATTACTTGGGCCAATAAGGTCTAATGTAAACGACCTAACAAACAATGGCCTTCTCAGTGAAATGAGTGCAAAATAATCTAACTATAAGCCTAAATATTCTTAACTTGATCTTCTATGTTCCATAAAAAAACATAGTACAATATCATAATTCAATTAAAATGAAGTATAAAACATTAAAGCAAGCTTAAAAAGTTAGGTGTGTATATAATTTACAGCAACATGTTATCAAGCTAAGAGCCCCCCAGTGGCACAGCAGTATGTCTGCGGATGTATAATGCTAGAAACCGGGTTTTGATACCCGTGGTGGGCAGAGACCAGATAGTCCCTTTGTGTAGCTTTGTGCAAACAAACAAACAATCAAGTTAAGATTTTAATTGTCACTTTACTTTGATCTCTACAAGAATCTGCACTAAACTAGAGACAACTGAAAACAAAATAACAGTAAAAAAAGCTTTAACTACTAGCCTATGATTCTCAATGAGATATAGCGAATTGACAAAACAACATGACAACTAGGTTAAGAAACAGAAACTTGCTAGAGTTGTTAAAAGTTATAAGTTGGAAGTTATAAGATTCAAATTTTGTTGAAAGCTATTTCCACTTTTCTCTTAAAGATATATAAGCAGGGCTGTGCAAAATTCTGCTTTGCATTTTAAATTTTAATCTTCAGTAAAAATAAATGTGTCAGCAATTTTTAAATCCTCCAAATATGCTTCAACAGCCACGTTAAACCTGGCATCAGTTTGATGTTACATGCCACTTTTTCTGTCATTTTCTCTCTCTTGTCCCTTCATAAGGAGTCACACAAGTCTTTCATACTTCTTGTTCCACAAATCATCTGATATTTTTACACCCATTCCTGTTCTTAGTTTTGTTCTTTGAATCATTCCCCTCCCTTGTAGTCACAATAATGAGTCTTCTTGTTACAAATTGAGTCCCTAGTCTACTCTGGTAAGCATTGAAGCTCCTCAAACTTAACCAGTTTGCAGAATAGTCTGCTGTAAATTTGTACTCTGTTTTCTTTCTTCATTTCAATTTTCCTTAAGGGCAGTCGATTGAAAATGAGTTATTACAAGCATAAATGTGGTAGCAAAAAGGTAAAGAGAAACTAAAAAGGCAAAAATAATCATTAATAGTATTTTTAAATGCTCACATTTGTAATTTTCTGTTATTTATATATATATGCAGCATATTTGCCTATGCTAAATTTATATAATTAACTGTAGGTATAGGCCCAGTCAGAAAGGCTTGCTCAGGC